CCAAATTCATCTCAATCCAAAAAGAGCAAAAATTTGCTTCTACATTTATTTCAGGTGGCTCTAGACCTCTTCTGGAAGATGCATAAGCAATTATGGGAACACATTTGTTTGCATTAAGTAATGATGGCGAGGTTAGTGAATCCAAAACCTCTTGGTTGACTTATAATTATAGGAAAATATCAGTATTTTGATGACTATTTAAAGCCTCAAACCTGTATATGAGATAGAAGTTTTGTGTGAAGAAGAAAGATCTGGTTGAAGTTATCTTAGGAGTTTTGAATTGGCTGGGGTCAGTCACGTTGCTATCCAATTTCCTGCATATGAGCAGATCAAACCTTATTTAGCAAAAAGGGGTAAGAATTTTTCCAATCCTTTATTTTGTTGTGTGTGAAAATGCTTTTCTTGGCTTTCTTTTTCAGAGTAGTTGCATTGACTGGAAATTTTCCAGTTGGCAAGTGTACCAGTGATCTAGGAGCTGGAGAAGTTGTAGTTGCCTCTGTAGTTGCCTCTTCATTGGCCAAAATAGTTGCCTCTATAATGACAAGTGTACCAATGATCTAGTAGATAGTTTTTTGTTCTTCGTTTTTATTTTTTGTTGCGGGGTATGCCCCTTTTAAGAATGTAGTATGTACATTCACATGTATGTGAGAAGTTTAGATGTAATAAAAATGTTTGAAATTTTGGTTATTTATTAGTATTATATATTTAAATATGTGTGTATTGCAATAGTATCATACTATTGAGTTTCGCGATACCGTAGTAGCTTGTACACATTAGTATGTACATTCAATGTATCACGTGTATGCTTTCATATCATGATAGTACTAGCCTGTCATTGAGTTTTGCGATACTGTAGTGTCATTAAGTTTTGCGATTCCGTAGTGTCATTGAGTTTTCTGATGTCATAGTGTCATTGAGCTTTGTGATATAGTAGTGTCATTAAGTTTTTGTGATATCATAGTATCATAATTTGGTGATACAATAGTGTCACAATTTTGTGACACTTTTAGTGACACTTAAAAAGTGTCACTAGATCTCACTTTCATTGACACTTGTTTAGTGTCACAGAAACTTTCAGTGACACCAATTTAGTGTCACTGTAAGACATTTTTCTAGTAGTGTAGATGTATTGTGCTTTTCCTAAAGACTTGTCTATTCACTGAAATAATACTTATAAATTTATTTCTACACTTCTTAGATTTAAGGACTATTTTCCAGCTTTTTTTAAAAAGAAATTTGTAACTATATTATAGAACCGGTTAAGATCGGCACTATGGAAAAAATTTGCACTGTTTTGGTTAATTTTCATAAGGCAACTAAAACTTTTTTGGGAAAATGAAAACTAATAATCCAACCTTTCAGCGGTCTTCTTTCAATAATCCCACCTTTTGATTATTCATGAATAATCCAACCTTTGCCCCTCATCTTCATTCACTGGTCCCTGACCGATTGATGACCTGCTATTCCAAGCTATTTTCTTATCTTTGTAAATCATTATACCATAAATCTCATCTTTCACAAAGATAATATTTTGGAAAAATAAGAAAATAGCTTGGAATAGCAGGTCATCAACCGGTCAGGGACCAGTGAATGAAGATGAGGGGCAAAGGTTGGATTATTCATGAATAATCAAAAGGTGGGATTATTGAAAGAATACCACTAAAAGGTTGGATTATTAGTTTCCATTTTCCCAACTTTTTTCTCATATTGATACACCTACAACAAACCTATTTTTTGTTGAAATTGTTAATCTTGATGTATTTTCTCGCTGGCCATTGGAGTATGCATGGCACCGCAAACTGTGCCAAGCAGCTATAAAAAAAATCTAAACAACTTTTAACACTACTTTTAGACCAACATTACAAGTGTATTTATTTTATTTTAGGTAGATCGAGGCCCATGTGACCCCTAGCTCCGCGATGTCCATTGTGACTCCCTAAGAGCATCTCTGATGCTCTTAATTAGTGCATTGGTAATGAAGTGGCAAAAAAAATGAAAATGGTCTATTTTATAAATAGATCAAGCTTTAATTAAAATGATGGGTCTATCAATACACTACTCCAATGCAAAAATAAGGAAATAAATTTAACAAAAACTAAATTAATTTAAAAAGAGAAAGGCTATTTGAGTGGTTGCCATTTGCCAATGCTCATAGGCCCACAAAATCGCTTTTAATTTGGCAAAGGCCGGTTGGCACCAAAGATCCATCTATGAACCTTGTCTTGTATCTTATTCATTTTCTCAATTGCCAACTCGTCTAGACTAGATCAATACGAGTATATTATTTTGCATTGAAGATGACACTTCCATTTAAGAGGTTCATTTGATGATGTGGAACCACAATGGACTTATGGACCTCTCCATTGGGGATGCCCTAAGCCATAGGGGCAGTGACCACAAATTTCATAGCATGTCATTGGCCCCTATGTCCATCAAGTTCCTCCCCACCGCAGTTACCCGCCCACCACAAAACTTGGCATGACTATTGACTACTACCAACAATGGCTAACTATGTTTATGACCTCACCCTAACACTAACCTTTACCATTTCCAGTTATCGAAAAGCTTAAGCACCATAATTAACCACAATTGAAGACCTTGCAAAGCTTGTTTGGATGAATTGCAATATGCGGCTCCCACCCCCCTTAAAATCTCAGCACCAAAAAACCGTAATGTCGAAAAAATGTTGCCACGGTATCCTATGGGAGAACGAAGGAATAATAGTATATAGTCATTTATGTGAGTATTTTCATTTTATTTTTGAAAATACGCAACATTAACGCAAAGGCAGACATTTAAATGCGTGTATATACCCAATTGGCCAATTTCTTGTATGTATAATAAGTGTATAAGGGATGGATGCAAAAAAATTATTTTAGTCATATTCATGTACACAAATTAAACTCTTAAACTTCATGCAATCATGCCATTTTTGAATTAGTTGGAAATAAACTTTTCTCAATAATGGTAGACATTTGAAAAGTTCAAATTGAAAGTTATAATCTGTTGCCATTCGTGAAACTGTAACAAAAATCCAAATCAAGATTTATGGATAGCAAATAATGGAGTCAAGTATGGTGGCAGATGAGGACCGGTTCAACTCATGCAAGTGGCTGATCAGACCCACAAGCAATAATATGATCACATAATTACCTTCGTACACTCGATGCTAATTAAGAGGGGCAAGACCACAATGTTGTTGACCATTCCTGGCTTACACTGTACACTATTAATGGCTCAAAAATTATGCTAGCTAAATACTCCGTACAATATTGCCACGTTCTTTTTTATTAATATAATACTATTCCGTACAAAACTTAGTCGTTTTCATCTTGAAATTAACAAGTTTTATTTCATACCTAATATGCTATGAAGCACGGATACTTCCCTAGGGTAGCGTATCGGCGTATCGGATACGTTCCCGTATCCGATACTCTAGAATACCCGTACCGTACGTTCCCGGGCCGTATCTGCAATTTTTAAAAGTTTCCATTTTTTTTGTAATTTTTTGAAAGTTTCCGATACTCATATCCTGACGGATACCCGTATCAATTTTTTAAAAAAAAAATCCCAAAATTTATTTAATAAAATTCTAAAAAATGAAAATCTAAAACTACATTTCACTTGGTAATCAAATAATGGGCCTATATGGCTATATCCGAATTAAGTCATTAACTCATATTCCAAAGTGGGTACTTGCATTTTTAATTTCAAGATTGCAGTTGTTTGACTTATTTTTCATTTTAAATTAATGACTTATTGACTACATTTATATTTCGAGACACACTAGCATATATGAGAAATATTATGAATTTATTACTAAGATCTTGAAAAAGGAAAATGCTTCAATGCAATGAATGGGTAGACATCATAAGATATTATATGTGTATATATATATTTGCTTCAATGCTTCAATAAAATATTAAATATAGATTTGTTTTGAATATATATATATATATATATATATATGTTCAAAACAAATCTATATTTAATATTTATAAATAGACCCCTATAACTTTTAATATTTGTAAATACACCCCTATAACTTTTGAATTGATAAAGTGTAAATAAAGTAAGAATGAATTCTAACCACTCAAATGTTACCAAATATGGTATGGGACAAACTTAGTGGGACTGACGAAAAAGGTAAAACGGGACAAACTTAAGGGGACGGAGGGAGTAATATTTATAAATATGACCCCGTATCCTACTTTTTTTGGTTTTGACGTATCCCCGTACCCGTTTCCGCGTTTCCGCGTACCGGTATCGGTGCTACATAGCTAATATGAAGTTGGCAATGTCCAATAGTCATTTTCATCTTGAAATAAAATGCATCTATGGTTTGTTTTATTTCATACGGAGTACCAATGTGTGGTGCGTATAATACCCATGTATCTTGCTTGCTGTTGGCTAATGTTTCCACCTTCCTAAACGGCTTTGGGAATTGGGAAAAATGTACTGCGTACAAAATAGCATGATTCATTAATACGGAGTAGAAATTGCGATTCAACTCGTTATTATTGTTGTTGTATTTTTTAGGGATAAGGGTCAGATAGGGCCTCGAACTCGAAAAAAAATGTCAAATAAGGTCATATTTCGGATGCTCTGTCTGGCCGACGCCATTTGGGGCGGTTCCCGATGGAATTTTTTGATAAAATTTTTTGAGCATCTTCCTCATTAAGTCTAGTTTACCCATACCAAATTTCAGCTAAAAACTCAACCGGGAAGGTAGTCAAATGAGTTTTTGAAGATAACTGTGAAGTTAAACAACGCCGTACATTTCGGAAAATTATTTGACTACCTTCCCGGTTGAATTTTTAGTTGAAATTTGGTATGGGTAAACTAGACTTAATGAGGAAGATGCTCAAAAAATTTCATCAAAAAATTCCATCGGGAACCGCCCCAAATGGCGTCGGCCAGACAGAGCATCCGAAATATGACCTTATTTGACATTTTTTTTCGAGTTCGAGGCCCTATCTGACCCTTATCCCTATTTTTTATGACTGCATATTTATTACGGAGTACTACTTATTATAAATATTTATTTATATATGTTTGTGTGTACGTGTATGTATGTATATACGTAGTATAATTTAGAACAATTGACATCATGAGAGAAAAAGAGAGATGAAAATAAATACGTTATTTTACATTGAAGAGTTGTATAATTGTGTGAAATATAAACGCGCGTGCGATGTTATCAATCAGACAATACGATGATAACTCTATAAAAACGGAATCTAATTGCCAATTTAAATTGTACAATACCTTAATCAGAAATAACCATAAATGTGAACAATTAAATCAAAATGTACACACATTCACTTACATGTTATTAGGATATGTAATCTATATGAAAAAATAATAATTAATATTACTCTAAATAATGTGATGAACAAAAATATTATTAGTAATTATTACCGATTATAATTGTGCTCAAATTAACATCATAGTAATTACATGTAAGCTACTGAGACGTAAATTGTGAACACAGTTATAGGCACTAATAGTTACTTTTTACTAGGTAATATTTTGTCTGTGATTGTTTTTATATTCCTAACCGAATTATCGTTATTCAAACTTCATTTTTATCTAAAATGAAGTCAATGTCCCATTTCTTTTACGAATCAGTCTTAAATATTACTTTGTGATCTCAAATTTGTGCAAAATAGGGTTATAAACTTATTTATTGATCTATAATACTACGAATTATATACATTTTTTAATATATAAGAGCGACTTTTTATATTAAAATGGAGAAAACATACCAGTACAAGACAATATCCTGATAGTTATGACAGATGTGATCATCAGTTTTATAAATCAACTACCTCATACAAAGCAACCTGATTCGTTAGACACAAAATAGAAAATCAAGCTTACTTCGAAACTTCAAATCAAACCTATTCAAACTAAAATAAAAACATGTTTCGCCTTATGACAGATTTCTGTTTGTGCAGCTCAATAGAAAGACAGAAAATCCTGATAAGGCGAAACGCACATATTTATGGATTACCCTACTCCTAAAACTAATTCTTAACCAAAAATGAACTCTGCGATCTTGTGAAGCAGCCGCACTGATAAAATTATCTAGCATTGAAATGAGTGACACCCTTAACCACCACATAACAAAAACGAAGGGTATGTTTGGCATAATTAGCTGAAAAGATACTTTTATGAGCTTTTTAGTAACTGTTGACTCTTTGTGACTGAAAAGATCTTAAAAGCAAAAGGTGGTAACTGTTTAATAAAAAGCTGACTGTTTGATTTAGTTCTGTTTGGTATACAAGCTGTTAAGACAAATTAATACTGAAAGCTACAGACTTTTTCCAGATGCTACTCACTGTAGCATCTCAAAAAAGATCTTTTATTTTTTAAAAAGCTCTTAAAACTTGACTTGCCAAACATACAACTAGAAGCTTTTAAAGACTTTTTAAATAGTACGGAAGCTAGAAGTTAGTGACTTATGCCTACCAAACATGCTCGAAAACAATAAACAAATCGTGTGTATATCATTTTGAAGAAAAGACCCTTTTAATGCACCACTATTCCGGATATATACATACACTTCCAAGTATTCAAACTTCTCAAATGTACTTCGTATGAAATTACAAAATACACATTTGGATGTTAAAAAGAAATAAAAAATTTATTAATTTTTCTTTTATTTTTCAGTTAAGAAAAAAATGAGTTTGTGTAGATTTAGACTAGTTATGGAGGCAATATGGATTAAAATTTTGAGTTTCATATTTCCTGAGTCTAAAAAGCTCCAACAGTTTGATACTTCAGATTTTTTGTCATAACTTTATACAATAAGAGTGGATTAATACTCAGAAAATAGAATATATGTGCTATATGTAGTTTTGCTACCGTACTATAATTACAAGACATTGATGTGTCAATCTTTTATTGTCTTAGAGCTCGTTTGATAATATTGAAATCGGTTAAATCGACTGATTCTACTGAAATTTATGAAGTTCTGATCGAAGTAACTGTATTGGTTGATCCTGCTGATTTATGGAAAAAAATATAATAAAAGTTTATTTTATTAATAAAATAAAGAAAAAGTTATTTGAAAAAATAGCTAAATGGTCATCTACAGCTTCAGCCACTATAGCCAGAAATGTAATTTCAACCTTATATTTTCTTATTATTATACAATTCAGCGCGCGAAATCAATAATTACGTGTTTAATTAAAAAGTTGATTGATAAGTCTGATAAAATAAAAATTGAGTAACTGGCTCTTTGTTTTTTAAAACAAAATTCTTTGTTTTGGTTGAGTAGGGGTGTCCCTACTACCATACATGTATTTTAGAGAGGAGGGGGTTATCAATAATAATATACGAAGTATTGATACTTTGCCTTCAAACCTAACGCGATCGGCCTCCTCTTCAACTTCAACTTGGCGGCTTCCACAATCGGCTGTCCGATAATAGACAGAATGACGCGACCTGAAAGAAGTCGGGAGAGAGAAGGTGAAAGTACTAAGAGACAGAATGTCGATCTATGCAGCCGCCGGGAGAGGACTTTGTTTGCTCTATCGGCAACGCATCTCGTTGCGATAAAGATCATCGGTAATGACATTGAATCAAATTATTTGGTGATGAAGCTACCACATCCCTTCATGCGTATGGTGGAATTGGAGTCCAATATATTCTTACTGGGCGGTATAGAGATCAATGTTTCTAACGATCTCTATCTTTCTCAATCCAATGATGCCCTTCCCGTAGAAATCTATGAGGTGAAACAGCATCCCGATTCCGTGTCCATAGTTCCTTCGAAAACCATACCAAATATGAAAGAAGGAAAGGGAAGTCCAATGGTCCAAAAGTTTGGAAGCAAGATATTTGTACTGAACAGGGGCCTTCATCTCAAATACGACGACTTGAGTCACAAATTCTCACCTAATGTTTTTGAGGTGTTCGATTCTGCTTTTCCAGAAAAAGGCTGGGTTGTGAAATCAGGTATACCCTTTTTTGATGGTTCCATTTCTAAGGGAGGGTACTACGTGCCCGGCTTCTTTCGAATGGGGGAGAAGGTCTACATTTACCTGACTGGTAAAAGAAACGGTTTTTATGTTTTCAATTTAAAAACAGAGGAATGGTCCGAGGATGACTTTTTTTTTGGGGAGAACATAGTCCTCTTGGCTCACCAGTCTGTGCTGTCTCAGCTCCTGGTTTAGATGATGACACGTATGTCGTTTTTGGATTCGAAAATGCGTTCTTTCCAGAATTTCATGCTGCTCTTTTCACCCAAGGAAAAGGATGCTACTGTTATCAAAATGTGGACCACATCTTCAACTTGGAAGGATTGGGAAGGAAAGAGATGACCTGTCAATTTGTTGAGATGGGGAACGGTGACTACCTGGGCCTGCTGACAGCTCGTGAAAAAGCATCTGGCTTTTATCTTCTTGTATCAACCTTTTCACTTGAGGTATTCACTACTCATGTGCCACCCATTCCAACTCTGGATAATGAGCCCATCAAAGTGACATTCTTAAGAGTTAACCGCAAGAGCCAACAGAATTTCAATATTAGTGGGGCTGATATCTGTTATTTTGTTGGAGCTGCATGCGTTTAGGTATTGTATGCACCTCAGTTCTCTATATCTTTAAATCCTCACATTCTTTCACTTTGAGCATCTAGCTGTGGTGTCAATGAATTTACTGAGTTATGTGTTGATTGATGTTATATTTTGTGATTGCTGGTTCATTTTATATAAGTTGCAAAGTTGGTAATATTTTTGGCATCACACATGCTCTTGTGACTTGTGAGCTCTCTCCCTTCGGAAGAGAGAATCTATCTGTGATGTCATTAAATGTACGTAATAATCTCTTTGCCAGCGAGGAATTCTGTCCATTAATTGGTGTTGGTGAAAAAAAACAGCTTTTCATTTTGGCATTTTGTGACTGGTCATAAGCTGTGAAGTTCAACTGAGGAAGACATATTCATAATTACGTTTCAGAGGAGAGTGGTTACTGGCTAGAAAAACCAATTGATGACATATTTAAACTCTTGCTGTTTAATCCGTTTTCAATTGTTATTATTGTCAATTGAGGGAGTTCAATCGTTTTAATCCATTAATGTTTAATCATTCTATGAATGAGATGATAAAAATGGCACCCAAAGTAAACATTATAACACCCTTTTGGAAAGGAAGGAAAAGGAATAGCCATAGTAATGATATAAAGAAGTGAGAACTGAGAGCAAAAAAAAAAACTGCACTTTGTGTTTAAATCAAGACAACAAATTTAAAAACATTCTATTAGCGTTTTCGCTTTTATTTTGGATATATAGTAGGGAAAATGGAAACTAATAATTCATCCTTTTAGCTGTCTTCTTTCAATAATCTCACCTTTTGATTATTCATGAATAATCCAACTTTTGCACCTCATCTTCATTCACTTGTCTCTGGTCGGTTAATGACCTACTATTCCAAGTTATTTTCTTATCTTTTCAAATCATTATACCATAAATCTCATCTTTCATAAAGATAATATTTTGCAAAGATAAGAAAATAACTTGGAATAGTAGGTCATTAACCGATCAGGGACCAATGAATGAAGATGAGGTGTAAAGGTTGGATTATTCATGAATAATCAAAAGGTGGGATTATTGAAAGAAGACCGCTAAAATATTGGATTATTAGTTTCTATTTTCCCTATATAGTATACAACTTCGGGAAATATACTCATAGAACTAACTTACATCAGTGATTTTATTATTAACGATTCAAATTATTTATTAATTAGCAGCAGCAACAACACCATTACCCCAGTCCCGTAAAGGTCCCACCTACGGTGGGGGTAAGGAGGGGTCAGATGTAAGCAACCTTACCCCTGTGCTTTATACTAAAGCGCATAGAGGCCGTTTCCAAATTTTATGATGATGTGAAAAATTTTATGATGATTTTATTATTAACAATTCAAATTATTTATTAATTAGCAGCAGCAACAACACCATTACCCCAGTCCCGTAAAGGTCCCATCTACGGTGGGGGTAAGGAGGGGTCAGATGTAAGCAACCTTACCCCGTGCTTTATACTAAAGCGCATAGAGGCCGTTTCCGCCTTTTATGATGATGTGAAAAAATTTATGATGATTTTATTATTAACAATTCAAATTATTTATTAATTAGCAGCAGCAACAACACCATTACCCCAGTCCTGTAAAGGTCCCACCTACGGTGGGGGTAAGGAGGGGTTAGATGTAAGCAACCTTACCCCCTTTTATGATGATGTGAAAAATTTTATGATGATACGGAAAGTTTAACATTCATGTCTCAATTAATATGTGAAGAGAATTTCCTTTTTTCCCGAAAGTCTTGCTACGTGCTTATGCTCAAGTTGCTTTAAATCCTTAATTTTGAAACTACAGTCGCAAAACAATTAAAAGGAAGTTATAAGAATATATATATATATATATATATATATATATATATTGAGCGAGAGTTATCCTCTCCAAATCTTCGACTTGTCTAGAGCGTTCCTACGCCGCTAGGGTTCGGTGCGTCCGATCTCGGCAATTGGCTGAGGATCGCGAGCGAGTGGAGGCGGCGAGCGGTTGTCGTGGTTTTGCTGGACGAACGGAGGTATACGAATGGAAGATTTTGTGGCTTCATACAAGAAACTTTCGATGAACGAGCAAGAGAATGAGTTGAATTTTGATGAAGATGCAGCGGAGGACGTCGAGGAGGATGCAGGGCCGACTGGTTTTCCGGCGGTAGCAGTGGTGATTTCAGATCGGAAAATTAAACTGGCAGGGTTTCAGGAGATGATGATAGCGGTTTGGAAACCTGTTAAAGGTATGACTATCAAGGAAATCAGCGACAAAAGGCATCTGTTAATTTTTAATCACTGTTTGGATATGAATCGTGTTATTGAGGATGGTCCTTGGCTATTTGAGCGCGATTTGATATTACTAAAAGCTGTTCAGCCTGATGATATACCTGAATCAATGAATTTGTATGAGGCTAGCTTTTGGGTACAGGTTCACAATGCTCCTATAAAGTATAGGAATTTGCGATCTGCTAGAAGAATTGGTAATTTTGTGGGCTCTTTCATTAAATTTGAGATGAGCCAATTTGATGGTAGGCAGACTTCCTATCTGCGTATTAGGGTGTCTATGGATGTTCGCCAGCCTTTGAAAAAAGGCACTAATCTGACACAGGATGGTATTAAGCATTGGGTGGACTTTAAATATGAGAAGTTGCCCAGTTTCTGTTTCATTTGTGGCATTATTGGTCATTCTGATAAATTCTGCCCGTTGAAGTATGAAGAGGGTTTTGTTGCTGAAAAAACATTTGGAGTGGAACTTAGAGCGGGAGGAAGAGTGAAGACCAGCCCTACAGGAGCATACAAATGGACTTCTGCGGGAGCTTCAAGCTCTGAAGGGTATGGCAGCCAATGGAAACCTGCTTCTGGAGGAGAGTATTCGGCTGAGTCCAAGGGCATCAAACCGGTACTATTTGAGAGCACCAACGAGGAGGAGATGCCTGGGGAGCTCAAGCGCAGGGGGACTTGGGAAGCTCAGGCTGGACAAGGCGTCGTTGATGAAGACATGGGCATGGAGGGGTCAAAAAACGGAGGGGAGGCGGGTCTGGCTTCCTAGACCCGCCAAGACTGTGTTGGAAGTTTGTGGGGAAGAAATCTTGTTTTGGTTTCTTTATTTTCTTCTGTTTCGAATTTAGTACTCTGCATTGTTCTGTTTTGTTTTTCTGTTATGCGTTTATTCCTTGTAAGACTCTCGCATTAAGTTTGGGGGAGGGAGAGGCTGCGGTAACCGTCATTAGCTCTATGTTGCCCAAATTTGGTCTAGCGAGTTATACTGCTTTTGCACAGGTGGTTAGCTCTCAGTCTCGGCCACGAGCGGATGGTTATTTGTGGTTCTTTTCTAGTTTTATCCTCCTGCTGAATGCTACTTTTATGAATTAAGGATTCTTCGAGCAAAAAAAAAAAGAAAATATATTTTTGGAAAAGAATAAATGATTTTTTTCGCAAAACTTTAATAAACGTGTTAGTATTTGTAGTGATATATGGAAGGACAGATATCATCATTTGTAGTGATATATAGGAGAACATGTATCACTTTAGTATTATTTGAGTATGATTGCACATATTATTCATGATAAGTGGCAAATGCATAAAAGTGTTATCACTTTTCGAGAATTCATTTATATTCTATAAGCATCTTTTAATTGAATATAATTTGATTGATAAGGTGTTTGCTATTGTATATGATAATGCTAGTAATAATATTGTTGTTATACATAGATTACGTGAATTGTGTGTTCCTTCTACTTTGATGAATAGATTTTTTTCATCAGCATTGTGCATGCAATTCTCTTAATTTATGTATGAAAGACAGTTTAACCGCGATAGGAAGTGTGGTGGAGAACGTGAATGGGGGGTTGAGCTTAATTTGGGGTAAATGGGGTAATACTCAACTTAAAATGCAATGACATGATTATTTGAAAGCTAGATGTGTTAGATATTGTGCTTTTCCTAAAGACTTGTCTATTCATTGGAATAGTACTTGTAAATTTATTTCTACATTTCTTAGAGTTAAGGACAATTTTCCTGTTTTTTAAAAGAAATTTGTAAATATATTCTAGATCTGGTTAAGATCGGCAAAATGGAAAAAATTTGCACGGTTTTGGTTAATTTTCATAAGGCAACTCAATCTTTTTAATTTCTCATATTGATACACCTATGACAAACATATTTTTTGTTGAAACGATTAATCTTGCTGATGTTTTTTCTCGCTGGCCATTGGAGTACATGGCACAAATGGTGCTAAGCAGCTTTAAAAAAGATCTAAACAACTTTAAACACTACTTTTAGACTAACATTACAAGTTTGTTTATTTTATTCTGGGTAGATTGAGACCCATGTGACCCCTAGCTCCGCGATGTCCATTGTGACTTCCTAAGAGCATCTCTGATGCTCATAGTGCATTGGTAATGAAGTGGCAAAAAATGAAAAAGGTCGATAAATGGATCAAGCTTTAATTAAAATGATGGGTCTATCAATACACTACTCTAATGCAAAAATAAGGAAATAAATTTAACAAAACTATATTAATTAAAAAAAGAGAAAGTCCATTTGAGTGGTTGCCATTTGCCAATGCTCATAGACCCACAAAATCTCTTTTAATTTGGCAAAGGGTGGCACCAAAGGTCCATTTATGGACCTTGTCTTGCACCTTGGTTCATTTTCTCCATTGCCAACTCATCAAGACTAGGTCAATACGAGTATTATTTTGCATTGAAGATGGCACTTCCATTTTAGAGGTTCATTTGATGATGTGGAACCACAATGGACTTATGGACCTCTTCATTGGGGATGCCCTAAGCCATATGGGCAGTGACCACAAATTCCATAGCATGTCATTGGCCCCTATGTCCATCCGAGGAAATTCCCAAAATGCGGGACTTTTTTGTCTGACAAGCCAAAAGACGGCAATGATAATTAGGTTACCAAAATACGGGTGTCGGAATTGGGTGTTCCGACCAGGGGAAGGGTAAGGGTTTATACTTCTTGTCGGAATTGACTATTCCGACTAGACTCAACTATTTATTTTTTCCAAGATTTATATATCCTACTATGGTAACTAAAATCCCAAAAAAAAAAGGAAAAATTGACAAAAATAATCCCACCTTTCGCTGGTCTTCTCATAATAATCCCACCTTTAGATAATCCCAGAATAATCCCACCTTTGCACCCCATTTTCTTTCATTGGACCCTGACCATGTTTTTTACTCTTTTTTTGAAAATCATATAAATAATCTCACCTTTCACTTTTCTATTATATCTTTATAAATGTGAGATTATTTATATAAGATTTTCAAATAAAGGTAAAAAACTTGGTCAGGGTCCAATGAAAGAAGATGAGGTGCAAAGGTGGGATTATTTTGGGATTATGTAAAGGTAGGATTATTACGAGAAGACCAATGAAAGGTGAAATTATTCTAAATGCATATTTTTCATTTTAAAAAATTGAACGCTACGTATTACTTCAACTAAAAAACCTTACTTTATTTTTTTAAAAAAAATCGTTCAAAGCACCTGCTAAAATACGTTAATTAATGAAGTGTGAAAGCTAATTACATTTGGGGTATTTTGGCCAACCCACTTCATTAAAAAAAAATCGAAACTTTATTAAGACACTTCATTAAATAAAGAATGAATTTTAAAAATAAAAATATGCTCCTAGTCGGAATTGGTGTATCCGACACCAGCCCATCCCCTTTTTCAAAAACCTAACTCCGGTCGGAAGAGCCAATTCCGACTAGATCAATAGAGTATTATTTTGCATTGAAGATGACACTTCCATTTTAGAGATTCATTTAATGATATGGAACCACAATGGACTTATGAACCTCTTCATTGGGGATGCCCTAAGCCATATGGGCCATGACCACAAATTCCATAGCATGTCATTGGCCCCTATGTCCATCAAGTTCCTCCCCACGGTAGTTACCCGCCCACCACAAAACTTGGCATGAATATTAACCACAATTGAAGACCTAGCTGGCCTTGGCTGAGTTGCAATATGCGGCTCCCACCCCCCTTAAAATCTTAGCACCAAAAAACCGTAATGTCGAAAAAATACTCGTATATGCTGCCACGGTATCCTATGGGAGAACGAAGGAATATAGCCAAAAAATGATACTAGTAGTCTAGTAGTATATATAGTCAGTTATATGGGCATATTCATTTTATTTTTGATAAAACACAACATTAACGTAAAGGCAGTCATTTAAATGAATAAATGTGTGTATATACCCAATTTTCTTGTATGTATAAGTGATAGACGTAAAACAATTGTTTTAATCATATTCATGTACACAAATTAAACTCTTAAGAATCAACGAACTTCATGCCATTTTTGAATTAGTTTATATACTAGCTGCAAATAAACTTTTCTCAATGATTGTAGACATTTGAAAGTTGTAATTTGTTGCCATTCGTGAAACTGTGACAGAAATCCAAATCAAGATTTATGGATAGCAAATAATGGAATCAAGTATGGTGGCAAGCAGTGGCGTATCCACTATTGGGCAGAGGGGTAGCTGCCCCCACTCAACCCCTATATATATGTTCAAATTTTTACAAGAAATTGCTCAAAATAAGAATTAAATATAGCAAAAAAAATCTAAAATAGGATTAGAAGTGTTTTCATTAATATTAAAAGAATGAAAGGCTAAAAAATTCACTAAATTTTGTTATGTTTAGCTTATATTTAGGTAAATTTATTACATTTTATCTGCAATTACATCTTTACACACCCGTAATATAAATTAATCTTCTTTTTATCCATACTTGTACATAAATATTATTAACTAAATTTAATCAAACAATATTAATAATTTGATTTGTTATTTGTGAAATATGAGACTAAATTGTAGTCAAGTTTGCCTCCACTTGCCAAATTTTCCGGATACGCCATCGGTGGCAAGGGGCAAATGAGGACCGGTTCAACTCATGCAAGTGGCAGATCAGACCCACAAGTAATAATAAGGACCGGTTCAACTCATGCAAGTGGCAGATCAGACCCACAAGTAATAATATGAACACATGCATGATTACCCTCGTACACTCGATGCTAATTAAGAGGGGCAAGACCACAATGTTGTTGACCATTCCTGGGTTGCGCTGTACACTATTAATGGCTAAAAAAATTATACTACGACGTACTACATACTCCCTTATCCTATTACTAGTTTTATGACGCGCGTTGCGCGGTGTGTGAATGCCCAATGATTTTATTGGGATCAATAATATCAAATGCTCTTGGTAAGTATAACTAAATTGTGTGAAATACACAAACAAACTAATAACTATTATGTGCAATTAAATATGTGATTGATATGCATATGTGAAAATGTAGAGATCACTAAAATAGAACTTACATGTAATATTAAATGAACGGTTATAGACACATGTCAATTTCATACAAGGGGACTTGTATTTTTTTTTTGAATGATACAAGGGGACTTATATGAGACAATGATAAATACAATGTTAATGTAGCAATATAAGCATCTCTACAAGACGTAGTAGATGATATTCTAGCTTAAGAGAAAATCAAGGGATACAATAGAACAACTTCATAAATTTGTATATGGGTGATACAACCAACAAATTGGTAAGCCTTTTGTGAATCAAGGTTTTGCCATTGCAACAATAAACTTGAGTCACTTTGTTCTTCCTTATGCATCGCGGCACAGATGTGGAGATGCCTCAAGGCCTAAGTTTGAAGAAGTTTATCCCTATACATTCAATTTTCTCACATTCAAAGCATTCAAATAATTTAGTACGCATTTCAAAGAGCACTGAAATATAAAATGATGCAATATTAAAAAAAACGCCCCTGTTTGCAGTAAAAATTAGCATGCATAATGCTTTAGTCTTGAAATTTATGTAGTGGTAATTAATCATCATTAACCTTTCTTAGAAAATAACAGAGCTAGGAATGCGAAAGGTATAAGCATGCATTCCTGAAGTTGTTTTAGATATTATTCCACTAATCTACTTTAAAATACATCTGAAACGAATATATTAGATAAAGTCACTATTTAAAGGTGTATTTCTCATCATTTAAGGAACAAAAGCTTTAACAATTGCCTCCTAATATTTTAATCTGAAAATAATGAACTTTTTACTTCTGATCGGCTTTATTTGTTTCATGTATTATTTAAGTTAGAGGAACATAGATTACCAGGATTTCCATCATTTGCAATGGAGCCAAAGATTCATTATTTTTTGGCTTGAGAATATGATGGAATAAAGCAAAATGGCTCACCAAACTGTCTGTTCTTCTTTGTTATGAAGCAGCAGTCAGCATGCAATTTTGGACACGATTTTCATTATGGGTCATCCGGAAACAATCTCTCTGTGCTTTAGTACAGGGGTAAGATTGCGTACATCCGACCCCCTCTTACCTCACCATAGGTGGGAGCCTTTGCGGCACTGGGGTAAATGATGATGAAATGATGATGAACATAGATTACCAGGATAAAGGAGATATCAATTCAGAAGTGCTTGGCCCAAGAGAATATCTAACCAGCTCAAGTGAATTAATCCATAGCTACAATAGAAAATCACAGGAGA